ATATATATATATATATATATATATATATATATATATATATATATTTTTTTTTTTTTTATATATATATATATATATATATATATATATATATATATATATATATATATATATATATATATATATATATATATATATATATATATATATATATATATATATATATATATATATATATATATATATATATATATATATATATATATATATATATATAGTTAAAGTCAGAATTATTAGCCCCCCTGTTTTATTTTTCCCCCAATTTCTGAAGATTTTTTTCAACACATTTGTAATCATAATAGTTTTAATAACTCATCTCTAATAATTCAATTCAGCTTTATTTGTATAGCGCTTTTACAATGTAGATTGTGTCAAAGCAGCTTCACATAAATGGTCATAGTAACTGGAACAGTGTGGTTCAGTAACTGGAACAGTGTAGTTCAGTTTTTAGTGTTTAAGTTCAGTTCAGTTCAGTTTAGCTCAGTTCAGTGTGATTTAATCATTACTGAGAGTTCAAACACTGAATAATAACTGGTTTATTTTATCTTTGTCATAAAGACAGTAAATAATATTAGACTAGATATTTATCAAGACACTTCTATACAGCTTAAAGTGACATTTAAAGGCTTAACTAGGTTAATTAGGCAAGTTATTGTATAGCGATGGTTTGTTCTGTAGACTATCGAAAATATATAGCTTAAAGGGGCTAATAATATTGACATTAAAATGGTGTTTTAAAAAATGTAAAACTGCTTTTATTCTAGCCAAAATGAGACAAATAAGACTTTCTCTAGAAGAAAAAAATATTATCAGACATACTGTGAAAATTTCCTTGCCCTGTTACACATCATTTTGGAAATATTTAAAAAAGGCAAAAAAATTCAAAGGGGGCTAATAATTCTGACTTCAACTGTATACACACACACACACACACACACACACACACACACATATATATATATATATATATATATATATATATATATAATGATCATATATAATATTTTTTAACATGATGATACAATGCATTGCTATGTAACAAACCTATGTGACTGATACGTTATATTTATATGTATATGTATAGATGTGTTATAGACATATACATATAGCATATAACATATGTATATAACACATCTATACATATAAATAGATACTGTAAAACTTAAGTTTACTGAAGATGTTTGTTAGGGAAGATGTTTGGAGTTTATGAAGCTAGCGTTTACATAGAATTACTGTGTGGTCGTAATGTGAAATATTGATCATAATGTGATGTTATAATCATCTAAATGGTAATACAATAAAGTGCAGTAGAGTCATTCCAGTTAACAATGATTATAATTATCGCTTAGTTTATATAATTCACAAATATTACTCGGTGAAGCAAAGACCGTACATTCTTTTTTGAATGCAGTTTGGCTAATAATGAAGCAAAAGCACCACATGATCAAATAATGTGGAATGTGTGTGTATACACTTGGAGTGAGGTATAATTATGGTTAAGGGTGGGAACCCATTGAATTCTGGAACAGCTAAAAATGGCTACCGAGGGGGGAAGTGTAACATGTTTAGTTGCTCTGGGATCTACAGTGTTGCCACTCGACTGTAAAATGTATGTTGTTGTTGTTTTTGTACTTACAGTAAATGTTAGTTTCTTTCTTGAAACAAAGTTCTGCTGTTGTCTTTTTCTAAGCCACTTCTTTTCACATCTTTATTTTTTCACAGAGATAACATTAGTCTTGGGGAGTCACGGTGGCGCAGTGGGTAACACGATCGCCTCACAGCAAGAAGTTCAGTTTGCATGTTCTCCCCATATTCGCGTTGGTTTCCTCCGTGTGCTCTGGTTTCCCCCACAGTATAAACACATTGGGTAGGCTAAGTTGGCCGTAGTGTATGAGTGTGAATGCAAGAGTGTATGGGTGTTTCCCAGTGATGAGTTGCAGCTGCATGGGCATCCGCTGCGCAAAACATATGATGGATAAGTTGGCGGTTCATTCTGCTGTGGCGACCCCTGATTAATAAAGCGACTAAGCTGTAAAGAAAATGAATGAATGAATAAACATTAGTTTTGTTATTGAATCTGCCGCTATTCTGACACAATCTCACGGCAATTCGTAACTTTTTCATTTAGTGGCTAATTCGTATGAATTCGTACGATCTAATTCGTACATTTTAGTACGATTTGCTCATCCCCCAATGACGGTTGGATTTAGGGGTGGGGTTAGGTGCCACGCCTCCTTTTTAAAATTGTACAATTTCATACGACTGAACTCGTACGAATTAGCCACTAAACTGGCAAAACGTAAAATACTTACGTTTTATTCGTGAGATCAGGCTGGCTATTCTGACACGCAGTCATTTGTAGCTCCGCCCTCTTTTGAAAACGCCACAATCTCATTTGAATTTAAAGCGACAGTCACCAAAACGGCACAATTAGGATAACAGCCTAAAAGGGTCAGTTTAAGAGAGTTTTAACCAAGCGGCAACCTCCCGCTCTCCCTCAGGAAGCCAATACGGAAGTAACTAAAACTGCAATTCATCCGAAATTCCGCTAGTCCTGGCCGCTCCTGGCTCCAAAATAGAGAAAATTTCAATTGAGCCCAGTGTTAAAATTACCAACTTTACAGCAGAAAAAAAGGTGTTTACAGCCTGGTACAAGAAAAGATTTTGGTTATTACAGCTAATATTACCCTTCATGACAACTGTGAGGGGGGTGAATTTTTTTATAACTCATCTGTTTCCTTTATATTAAGTTATATTAAGTTTGCATAATTAAGGGCGTGGCCACTTGAGTGACAGCTAGGTCTCGCTGGTCGCCGTCACGTCACTTCAGCTGAATCCTGCAGATTAGCCTCTGAACTCGGCGTATTTATCGTATTTCTGTGTTGTTTTATGTGGCTTTACACAGTCGACTGCCTTTTGGACTTGTTTCCTACAATTATTAGATGGCATGGCATGCTGAGTGCACTTAATTGTGCTCACAAACCATTCACGTGGCCTCCGTTTCCCATGTGAGTAAAGTTATATACTTATATACCATCTCTATACATGTATTTGTTTTATTTAAGATCATTTATCGTTTATATTTAGAGCTGACAGATTGATTAGCTGTAGGCTCTAGAACAGTCGTCTGAAGTGTTGTCATACAGTGTTATGCTGGATTTCATCAATGGTCTTACATTAACTAACACAGACTATATTTGAAGGGTTTGGAAGTAATTCGCGTTTTCCTCCTGTTGAAAAACGTCATAAGAACAATGTTCAGTGGCTTAATGTATTACAGCAGTGTTTTTAAAGTCTAAACACTTTATTGATATAGTGTACAATCAAACACAAGTGGTCAGAACACAAACGAGTCGCAGGTGATAAAGTATTAAGCGTTCTCCCAAAGTAAAGTGTGTCTGAACCAGGTCCAAGCTAAATGCCAGCAGTGTCTGTAGCTCCGCCCACTCTCCGCCTCTTTGCCGTTGTTTGGTATCCCGCCGTGGGTGTGATGACGCGCAAACAAAATGGCGACGGTTGGCCACGCCTACTTGTGGCTTCTTTTGCGCTCTTTAGAAACCTATGGGTGACGTCACAGATACTACGTCCATATATTTTACAGTCTATGGTTTTAACACATTATTTGTGTGATATTTTGAGCTGAAACTTCACACACACACTCTGGAGACATCAGAGACTTATTTTACATCTTGTAAAAAATTGCATAATAGGGCCACTTTAAAAGCCTCTTGCTAATTAAGTTGTGAAATTAATTTTAATTCTTAAAGTAAGGCGTCAATGCATCAATAGTTTGAATAGTTGAACTCTGGAAGTTGCTTTGTCTGTCTGTTCTGATTTTACCTACTTCAGCCAATGTTCCTGCACACTGTTGTTCACATTTCAAGGCTGTTGGAGGTTGCTGAAGCAGCATGTCTGGGCAGGACGTGTGTGTGTGTGTGAAGAGTTTTACTGGCATGTTAAGACAGATGCACTGAGGCAATGTATTGCACGTCATTAATGCTCATGCGCACAACATATTTACCAGCAGTTCCAGACCTCTGCCCTTGATTGACAAACTTTTCACATTTTAAGGACTTTTCAACACTCAAAATAGCCCCGTCTGCATTTCTAACTCTGAAAGCAACCGTACAAGAAACAGAAAGCGAGGAAGAAAAAAAGGTAGGACACTTTTTATCGTATGAGAACTTTCAAAAAGAGCCAAAGGAGACTGACGAAACAATAGAATAGAAAGTGTTTGATTTGTCTTTTCATTTCAAAACAGATTGAGATTCTTAATATTGTACGGTGTTTTATAAACTGAACAGTGAAGACTGTCTTTTCTAGTCAAACTGTTGAAGAATTCCTAAATCAAGAAGCATTTTCTATGTAGATAAGAAAACATAGTGGTGTACAGTGACGCCTGCAGCCATACAGCTCAAATTAATTCTGCTTTTTTTATTTGTTACATAATTTAAATTGATTATGAATCAGTATACACTAAGATATATTGACAAAGCAAGAAAGAATGAGAATAAAAAAAGGTGTGTGTTTTAAAGTGTGTATGTACTTGCATGGTGGGAGATGGATAAAGAAATCTATTAGCTTTAGTTTTGCTGGTGGTTTTTTCCGCACACTAAAAATGACAAATTAGATAGCCATTGTTTAAAACAAGGTTCAAAATGAGTGAACTCTTTTTAAAACAGCTCAACTTAATTGAGACATTTGCGGAAAGGCCTAAAACTAGAACTAAAACGGAGACCGCAGTCTCATCAGCACCTGAGCCAGGGGAACTCCAGGCTCAGACCGTGGCTGTGCAACCTCCTCGCATGGAACTGCTATATCGTTCAATGTGTTTTAAACAATTTTATCTGACAGACTGGCACAAATAAGCAGACATCCTCATTCTCACAATGAGTTTCTGAGTTCTCTCACCCTTTCAAAAGCGTTTGAGACTGGTTTGAAGCACTTGACCTCAGATGGCTGAATTGTGCGTAGTGTATGAGTGTGAATGAGTGTGTATGGATGTTTTCCAGAGGTGGATTGCAAATGGAATGTTTTCTTTTCTATAAAATATTGCTTAAAATGGAGTGTTTAAACCTAGGGTCCACTTTTTGAGAATAAAAGAACCACCCCTTTAACCAGGCTGGCTACAGGCCTGACACTGCAGGTGAGGAAGGATGAGTAAACGATGACAGAATTGTTAGTTTTGGGTGAACTAACCCTTTAATCGGCGCTAGGACCTGGGAGCGCGTGTCGAATAGCGGTTCGAGCACACACACACACATTCCTGCCATACCACAGTGAATGGACACGATTGTTGCCAGTCAGTCGAATATTTTGAGAAGCGGTGTTCGGATCAGCTCCAAAGAGTTTGGGGGAATATTCTTACAAAACACTCTTCTGACAGCAATCAGAGTGCAGATCTCGGTGGGTAAAAACTGTGACTACAGAATTATGCTAACTTCTGTTTATGTTTACAGTTTGCTGTGCGGACTCAGTGTTGCTGATGAGGTGATTAATGTAACGTGACTCGTGTTTACTGGAGTGTAGAAATCTGCATGTGCTAAGTTACCTAAACAATAATATTTCAAATGTCATGTATCACTTCTCAAAGTAATGTTAATGTTTTTGGTGTATGAATTATTGAATATATGTGTCTGCAGGCTTTAATGACTGCTTTGTTGTTGGTTTTTAATGTATGACTTCAAAACAACATTAGCTTTATTTAACTGACTGTGACCAATGTTGTTCTTTGGCTGGTAATACGATTTCCCTATTCAGAATTAGCAAAGAAAACTTTAACGAAATGATATTAGAAGGATTAAGGTTCAAATATGCGAATGTAAAACCAACTTTACCCCATTATGTCTTGTTTCATGGTGTAGTTTGGTCTGCATGTAGTGTGAGGGCTTTAAATAACTGGCTACGTAATGCTGAAGTTCATCATCTAGTGTTTCTATTTTGGGATTTAGGGGTGTTTCACTGCTGTCACTTCCTTGGCGTTATGTTGTTGTGTTATACTGCATCATCTGCATATTTATTTGTTTTTTATATGCTTATTTAGTGCACAAAAGTTTATACTAATGCCAATGTGTAGATGTCAGGTATTTCTATCAGATCTGACTCTTAAATGTTGATGTAAAGTTGGTTTTATATTAACTCATTCAGAGTTTCTACTTCAAAATATAATTTCAGAAAAGTGTTTTTTGCAAATTCTAAATGGTGAAATCATATTAATGACTATCCAACTACATCATTCACAGTCAAATAAATAGTGCTAATGTTGTTTTCAATCATACATGATATTTCAGACCGAATATGCAAAGTACCATGGTAAACAATATAGGCAGAGTGTTACAAGTTGTCACTGAACGAATTGTGTGAATATAAAACTTTACCTCAATCTCTTAAATTGCTTTCTCAAGTTAAAGTGAATATATATTAACCAGTTATAAAGATATTATTAATAATATAGATATTATTGAGCAATTCTATGCAAATGTCAACCTTGCTATAAAAAAATGGAGTTTTCACCAAAATTTGGAAACCGTTTCTGGGTTTTTTGTGTAAGCAAGTATTTTACAGTACTTAAGAAATACTCAAAAATGCATCTGTCGATGTTTTCAAACTATTCTATTTGATTTACCAAAGTCACACAAGTAGCAATTTCACATCCGTCACATCCATAACGGAGAAATGTCAGATCCATAACGACACTTTTTCCTCCTAAATGTGAAAATATAAAATAAAATAAAACCAATCATTTTTGTTTTATTGAGAGCCAACTTATATCTTTTTGATTATTATTGTTTGTTTTTGGTTGTGCAGTTTAATTCACAGAATTTCTACAAAGTATGTTGTATTCTGTAAATGTGCAGACTTTTTTTGTCACGAAACATTGTTATTTTTCCTCATTTATAGTACAAAATTACAAAATATGTCTAAGTACAAAATATAGCTAGCCTGCAGCTAGCTCTCAGCAACTCACACATGATTAGCCTGGTCGGTACCAGGATGGGAGACCACATGGGAAAGCTAGGTTGCTGCCGGAAGTGATGTTGGTGAGGCTAGCAGGGGGCGCTCAACCTGTGTCTGTGTGGGTCCTAATGCCCCAGTATAGTGAAGGGGACTCTATACTGCTCAGTGAGCACCATCTTTCTGATGAGACGTTAAACAGAGGTCCTAACTCTCTGTTGCCATTAAAAATCCCAGGATGTCCTTCAAAAAGAGTCAAATCTGCCCACTGGCCTCTGTCCATCATGGCCTCCTAACCCTCCCCATGTCATAATTGGCTTCATCACTCTGTCTCCTCTCCACCAATAAGCTGGTGTGTGGTGTGCAGTCTGGTGCAATATGGCTGCTGTCGCATCATCCAGGTGGATACTGCGCATTGGTGGTGGATGTAGGATGCTGCACACTTGTTGTGGTTGATGTGAAGATTCCCAGCAATGTGTAAAATGCTTTGAGTGCCAGAAAAGTGCCATATAAATGTAAGGAATTAACGTTCTTAAACACTGCTGATTGGCTATTGTGTTCATGTGCTCAAGAGATATGACTGTGATTGGCCATGTAGGTCATCAGTTTACCACTCTTAATGCACTCTTAATCACCAATTGAAAACGTTTTAAAGCCTTGTCTATCACAGTGAACACAACAACCAACAGCTTTGTTTAATAATGCATCAACAATGCTCAGATGTTAGCAGGAAATTGAGATTTTTTTAAATCTCGGTATCGACTGGTTCCGAAGTCGATATTTTTGATAACCCCAATCACAAGTCTTGATCAGTGATGCCCAATCATGTTCCTGTATATCTGCCTTCCTGGAGAGGTCAGCACCAACCCTGATCAAAAACAACACAAACCAACTAAAGCCGCGGTCACCCTCTACTTTTCACTCCATATAGAATTTCATTCATACGCACGCGAATGCGTCAGACCGAAAATACAAGCTTGGGCAACAAGTTTCGCAGTTCGCTGCGTTGCAAAGTTCAAGCTTGGTGAACTCTGACCTGCGAAATCGCATCATGTGATTGTGTGAGATCAATCGAAGATCAAAACATGACCTCTCTGGACAGAATATTAAAATATGAACCAATCACTTGCTTTATCCCGCCTCTTTTTAAAGTGCCGTACAACAGAATTTCGCAAGCACAATCTCTAGAGTGACCATGACATAAGTAGGATCTGAAGGAGCACTTGGTGATTAAAGACAGGGGCGTTTGATCAAGGTTGCAGCTGAACTCTGCAGGAAGGTAGATCTCCAGGAACAGAATTTGGTACCCATGCTCTAGATCAGTGGTTCTCAAAGTGGGGGTCGGGACCCCCTGGGGGGTCGCGGGACAATGACAAGGGGTCGCTTGGTGATATCCAAAACTCAAATAAATTTGATTAAACTATCAGAATTACCATATTTTATTCATAACCGACAGAATATAGTTAATAGTTGCATTAAAGAAACAACAACATAAAAGTAACAATCAGCCATCAGCCTTTAATTTTAAAAGCAAAATGTAATTAAATCCATAAATGACTTTAAAAAACATTATATGGCTAATAGACTGTTGCATTTTTGTGTTGTCAATAAGCTCATGTTTATATTTGCCTATAGTTGTGTCTGCAACGTTTACATATTTACATCACCTTGAAAAATGGGGTTCGCGAGTCACTGATATGATTATTTTTGGGGTCGCGGGCTGAAAAGTTTGGGAACCCCTGCTCTAGATGAGGGGTGTCCAAACCCGGTCCTAGAGGGCCGGTCTTCTCCATAGTTTAGCTCCAACTTCCTTCAACACACCTCCCTGGAAGTTTCTAGTATACCTAGAAAGAGCTTGATTAGCTGGTTCAGGTGTGTTTAATTGGGTTGAATCTAAAGCATGCAGGACACCGGCCCTCCAGGACTGAGTTTGGACACCCCTGCAGTAGATTTTTATGCAGCAATATTTGATCATTTGTGTCTCCTCATTTTTTTTTTGCAGATAACTGCATCCCGAGTACGTATCCGTGCTACATTTTGTCCACCCCTGCAGCAGCAGATATGCACGGTTCTGAGGAGAGTGTGCCTGGAACCGTGCTTCAGAGGCTTATGCAAGAACATCTGCGATACACAACGAGTGGAAATGGTGGAGGGGTAGAAAACATTTCTCAGGTGCCAAGCAGCCCCACATCCACAGAGAACCCATTCCTGCAAAAAGAGGGTCAAGTAGCATATTCATATCAGCTTTTGCCCTTACACTTTCAGTCGCGACAGGAACCACAAGGTCAGGAGCATCAAGTAGACAGCAGTACCATGGAAAAGACTGTTGGTGTTGGTGCATGTAGAGCAGACCAAGCTTTGCCTGAGATCGACCTGTTGGAGCCTCCATCCTATGTGGAGGCTAAAATCCAATCTCAACAGATTAAAGGACAGCAAAGTCTGATGGATCCTCTGTGTCAAACCCACAACTACCAGAGTCTTCAAGATCGAGAAAACCTTTCAAATAATCCACAACAAACTCCAAATCTGGTCTTTTATAAGGAAACCCCTAAAAACCTTGTCCACCAAAGTCAGCAGCAACACAACCAGCCTTCGGCGATGTCTGAAAGTCCGACAGGCTCACATTCCCATCTGCCATCACTTTCTAACCCGTGTTCAATCTCCTCCCCTGCTCCACTTTCATCCTCATCCACGTCTCTCTCAACGGTTCCCACGAAGAACCTCGTGGAAGGTCAAACATGGGTTCAACAAGGATTCAATGATGATGCATCTCTCTGGGAGGAAGGTGTGTTAGATTTGAACCAGGGTCACGTTCACTCACCGAGCGAAAGAATCATGCAACTCAGGCTAGAATACAGTGGTGCTAAGCAAAGCATCGGACCTTTCAGTTCACCTTGCACAGGAGACACTGTTCATTTTGGGGCTGATAATACAGCAGATTCCCTTTCGTCAGCTAGTAAGACCTCAAATAGTAACCAACAACTTCCACCGCCACCCTCGTCACTGTGGACTCTGGATCAAAGAGGTCCTCCCCCAGAATATCCCTTCAAGTTTAAGTTACAGACTGCGCTTTCGCCCATGTTACACTCAAACTCTTCATCTCCGGAACAGGCACAAATCTTCAGTGATACTTTGACAGCAGCCGTGATGGAGACAGCACCACAGAGAGGAATAGAAAGGTAATGAAAACAGACATTACCACTTTTCCAACTGATCTGACTTACGGTTTTCTGAAAACTGACCCGGAAAATTTGGATCAGTCCCATTGACTTTGTGATCTCATAATTTTCCACCAGACTGTCATACAGACTTAAGGTTACGCTCGTATAACTCAGACTACCAATCTGCTAGGGTGTTCTGAGTGGCTGGTAAGGCATTGCTAGGCGGTTTCCAAGGTGTTCTGATTAATTGCTAGCTGGTTGCTAAGGTATAAATTAGCATATCATTAGCATGTTTCTAGTATAAACTAGCATGTTGTTAGTAAGAATTTAGTATGAATTAGCATGTTTATTGTATGCATTAGCTTGTTTCTAGTATGTTAGTATGTTTGCCCTACTGAAAAAAAAAAACAGCTTAAACCAGCCTAGTCTGGTTAGCTAGTCGACCAGGCTGGTTTTAGAGGGGTTTTGGCCACTTCCAGGCTGGTTTCCAGCCATTTCCCGCCTGGTCTAG